CACACACACACATACACACACACACACACACACACACACACTCACTCACTCACTCACACACATACAAACATACACACACACAAACACACACAAACACACAAGCACAAACATACACACATACATACACACACGCTCAATCTCACCCTTTTTCTCTCTCCATACTCACATAATCCCACATAATATTTATTGAACACTCACAACTCACATACATGCACATATTATGATATATTATGAATGGTCAAGTCATAACAATAATGTAATGCTTAAGCTAAATACATAATCAATGTTCTGACAGTATTCTGACAGTATTCGGATAGTACAGGCTTTAACCCATCGAGGGCGACCATTCTAGTTATTCGACAAGGCTTGAAGAAGCACAGTTTTGGGGTATAAAACTAATGCCTCTATTCTTGCTCTGTGGAAAACCAATAAACAATATTTTTGATCCGATATTCAATGGTCTACATTACTACTTGCAGTATGCCTTAAGTCACCCTCATGAGGGGTTTACTATGTTAAAAGAGAACTTTATGAGGGTGCCTCAGTCTCCCCATGCCTGGGTGACTGAGGCACCCCCCACCCCTCTCATTTTCCCTCAATTTTTAAAAAAGGATTAGACATATGTTCTCCCAAAAGGGTCAAGATCGATATTATTAAACCATCCTCCTAATTTGAACTCACCAAAGATTAACTTAAACTTATGACTTTTCAAATAATGAATCTTGTAGCGTGTCTTTCCAAAGGACACAACGTCGGACCGAACTGAGGCTCGAACCTCCGAACCTGCGATCTCACGATTAGGGGTCCGGTAGCCTAACCCCTAGGCTACCGACGCCTCGCATTACAAAGGAGACAGCATAAAAAAACACATTCACAAAAAAGAAAAAAAATACAAGTAGTACGTTTCCAGAGAGGAAAGAGACAAAGTGAGTGATTGACTGAGTGACCCCTCGTAAAGATCTCATCGTGTCTCAGAGTCTGAGCCTGAGCCTGTGGGTTCAAAGAAGGACAATGCTCTGACCACTGACCACTGACCACGGAACGCATAATCTGACAACTTGTCAGCTGTATTAGTCTCATTTCAGTATAGCAGACAATACTTTGAGTTGTGGGGTCAACATTTAACTATGGAACATTCAGTCACAAGGATGTCTTTCTTAATTTGAGATGTGAGACACACATAAACGCAGAAAAAATGTCGTTACCCCCATCCCTAAGAAAGGAAACATCAAAAATAGAAAAACCCCAACAGCAAACCAAAAATTTGAAACTGAACTACCACAAGACATCTATTTCATCACAAAGAACTAGATAAACATCCAACCAATCAAACACCCAACCAACTAACCAATCAACCAACCAACCAACCAACTAACCAACCAACCAACCAACCAACCAACTAACCAACCAACCAACCAACTAACCAACCAACTAACCAATCAACCAACCAACCAACCAACCAACCTACCAACCAACCAACCAACCAACCAACCAACTAACCAGCCAACCAATCAACAAACCAATCAACCAAATTAACAAAAACAATATGAATTATAAACACAAACATACTCTCTCTCACACACGATTGCACACACACACACACACACACACACACACACACACACACACAAACTCACATACACACGTACACACTCATACACACATGCAGTGGCGTCCAAAAGTAAGTTGAAAATGTATTCACCCAATCATTGCGTTAAAGCCTTGCACGACCCATTCATGCTACATACCAATATAAAGATAAAAAAAGAACAACAACTGAACAACTTTTTTTCTCTGAATATTTCGCACAAATTTTGTACTAGAATGTTGTAATTTGGAGCAGATATAATTCCCCCGAAAGGAATTTGTTTGGCATAAAATTCATAAAAATCTTGTTTTCGAAAACGGAAATGCCTTTTTATAACACTCCCCTATAAACGCAGAATGCGCTAATTTAAAAGATCTTGCAAGAAAAGTCATAAAATGATCAGGGTTTTTTTTTTCGCTTCATTTTTTTCTTAAAATTTAATCTTCCCTTCCCTGTAACATTTAAACAATTTTTTTTCTTTTACAGAATTTAAAAAATACAATTTTAAATTCTGGAATTCCGAGAACCAGAGCTCTATATGTCCTCCTTTGGACTCGGCACATTTTGACTCGTCGTTCGTAATGTTCAGAGATGTCCAAACACAAGGATCCACACGACCATGAGTACTCAAAGCCACCCACACTGTACACCTTACAGTATGGAGCTGTTTCTAGAGACATTAAGGGGTTAGGGTGAGGTTGCCCAAATAGACAGCATAACTTGTGGAGTTAACATATCTTGAAAGGTGAATAATATGGGCTTTGCCAAGGAACCAAATTTCATAGAGGAAATGTTCACACTTTTCAACATGATGGAGGAATCATGAACAAATTGCTATCCTCTGATCCATGTCAGCTTCGTGAACAGGAAATGGCACAGACGTAGATGAAGAATTTTTTTTTGGCAAATGTTTTACGGCGCTCCGAAACTGCATAAGGTCGTATGAGCGCAAGTGACACATTAAACATTTTCAGTTCGTAGGAAATTTTGAATTTTGCCCGGGTGGCGCCGAAGCCTACTCTTATCGATGTTAGACCACCAAGGGATCTTAAAAGTGCGCAAATTGCACACGGGACTTCCGAGATTTTTCGCCCTTGTCCGAGAAGGCTAGGTGTAGATCTTTCCTAACAGAAGATCCAGGGTGTGGCTGAAAGATAGTAGTAAGGAGACAAGGAGTAGCAGTAGAAAGGCTGCAGAAAGAGTCAGAAGCCCAGAGGACAGGACAAAGGAGGTTAGGGGGTGGAGCAGAAAGTGGAGATGAATGCGGACGGCAGAACATTCATTGCTAGAGAGCAGGAAAGGAGTTGAAAGGAGACATTTTTAGAGAATAATATTTTCCCGTCGCTACCCGGATTCGAACCCGGGGCATTTGAATGGGAAGCGAACACATTAACCCCTGGGCCACGAGAGCCCCCGTAGATGAAGAATGGTACAGACGTAGATAAGAATGCAGAGCGTTGAGATGTAGGAAAGTCTTTGCTGCAGACATTATTGTTTACGGACAGACATCTCTTGGGGCTCATCTACTGAATGCTGCACCCAGGTAACGTTTAAAGCGGTGGGAACGGCGTGTGTTTGACCTGAAGTGGTCATTTTGTCTGGGAATTTTTAGTTCTGATTCTCCACCGGTCCTAACAGACGTTTTCACTCTTGACATCAAACGAGGCCTTAAGGACACTTTAACATTATTTCCGCACCTAGGCAAAACTTACGAAATGAGTTGGTGGGGAGGAAATGTTCAATACAAAAAACTCTTTGCTCTTTACTAATCTTAACCACGATTTCAACAGACAAAGGGAACTTTAAAAAAACAAACTATCTGCCAACTTGAGTTGGCCTGTTAGACTGTTGTAGCTTGCAATATAGCCCAATTGCTGGGACTTTTAGCGGTAGGCCTAATGAAAACTAGTGCATCATGCAAGAAACATGTGAACGTAGCTGAAAATCGGTAGTTTTTTTACGTGCTATGTAGAGAAAAACTATTCTGTGGATTTATTTAAAATGAATATCAGACAAATTCCTTTTGACTCCAAAATATTGTGTACAAATTTGACACACAAAACTTCGTTGTGGAGGAACATAAAAAGTTGTTTAGTTTTTTTTAGGCACCAAACATAGGAAGAACAAAAAACAAAAAAAATGCTAAACTAAAGCATTATTTATAAGCCCCAAATCACCCCCACCCCCCTCTAAAAAAGGCGAAGAGTAGAAAAATATTAAATACTCCCCCCCC